TGATTTTGGAACAACGTATGATTTATCTTTTGACTTAACCATTTCAACAATTCATGATTCCTCTCCTTAGTCATACAAATGCACTAAGATATCCTTAGAGGATCAATCATGATATGGTTCTTAATCATTAAAATGATTATAAAACACGATACAAAAGTACTCTCCCATCCGTTCTAATTAGAGAAACCTTTTATCTTTCTTCATACTTGATTCTTCTTATTCGTTCTGCTATTCATTGAAACTCTTTCAATCAACTCAGAATTACACTTAATCTTATAAGTATAACTATATTTACTAAACTTTATTAAATGATGACGAATATTTTGATCTGTCTTTGTGGTGGACTTGACCAACAACCAAGTATATCTGATCCCCTAGTCCTTCACTTGACTATTTGTCAAGGAATTAGTCTCAATTTCCCAAATATGAAAGTTTTTCAAAGCTCATACAATACAAGTTGTGTGATTCCAAGTTTCTATCAAATTTAATTAGTCTCAATTTCCCAAATATGAAAGTTTTTCATTCATCATACAATACAAGTTGTATGATTCCAAGTTTCTGTCCAATTAAAACTTGGGCGACAAGAATCTTTCCTTATTTGGTAAATACTCGACATTACCACATATAACATAACTAAGAATCACATTCATTTCAACATTGCTAAGAATAGGAATACAAAAACATCAATTTTCACAGATGCCATTGCAAGGAAATATATAAATATGACAAAAAACAAAATTTATTTTATTTATAAAAGGTGTGGAAAAACTTGTCCTTACAATGAAATTCAAATGAAAACTATGTTATTACATAATCCTAAGAAATCTATCATAACTCTCTAAGTGCCACCTAAAAATCTGATCATCTAACCATGCAATCGAAATCAATTTCTTCGCGATCAGACTCAGCACGCCTCTTCCTTTAAGCTTCCTTTCTTTTCTTAAATCCTAGTAAACACCAAATGTAATCTTATCACATCATGTATTTAGAATCTCCAAATAGGAACTCAATAGAGTTAGATAGTGGATTTTACCTGAAGTAGAGACATACATCTTGACTCTCCCATCTCTTAGATCTCTCAAGTAGTCAGGACAGCTTCGTAACCAAGGCCCCCTTCTTAGGGCAATAGAAACATATGGACTCTTCTGGAATGGTACATGGGGCTATATTAGACTCATCATTTTTCTTGCGTAGAGGAAACGTTTCTGGACTTCCAATGTTGCCATTGCCCATAGAAGGTTGGGATATTGATTTACCAAACAAATTTGCTTGACCAGTGCACCAAATCATTTCTGATTCAGCAGCAATAAGCAAATAAGTCAAATCAATGAGGGCCACACTGTGTTCCATCATATAATACTCTCTAACAAACTTACCATATGAATTAGGAAGTAAGTGAAGAACCAATTCAACACCCAACTTCTTCGTGACATCGACGCCCAACATTCCCAATCTGTCAATATGCAACTTCATATCCAAGAAAAGAGTGTATACCAACTATCCATCTTCGTCTCTTTTTGCCAATAGGGCTTAAGTGACCTTGAACTTTTCAAGTCTTCGAACACGTGGGTCGGGGAGAATAATTGGAAGAGGTGGAGGAAGTGAAAAATGATTTCCATTTCCATTTCCACAATCTAATCGTGGAACATCATTTTCAAGTGGAATCTTTTTCCAACGGATTTAGGAACACCATAGTTGTCAGACTTTGACATCTCTAAAATGAGAGAAAATTCAAGTTAGTTGATTGAGTCCTAAATAAAACACCCAAATGAGATATTAAGGCTAGGACCCAACATAATATTCTACAATTTTGGAAGAGGGATTTTGTAATCCAAATTGCAGAACATTTGAAGGTAGGGAAATGACGATTTACAAATTTCCACCAAGAAAATGTAAAGGAAATTTAAGTTTTAGATGAATTGAAACTCCTAGATCTTATGAGATTCATTGAACTTTTCAATGGCATGTTTATATCTCGATTGTGCCCTTAATTGTGACAAAGATGCCGAGGATCACAAACAATTTGTGGATAACCATGCGAATTAGTTTGGTACTCTCGATGTTACAAATCACCTAAACAATGTGTTCGTTAACTACACTTGCTCCATTGATCTATGATATCAAGTTACCCAGTTCCATCTTTCATTGATTCCATATTAGTTTGCCGGTTAACTACACACACTCCGTTAACGACCAATAAAGTGCAATGTGCAATTTCATGGATTAGCACAAATTCCACATTTTTCCTAAACTACCTAAGATTTTGGAATTTATAAAAGTGTTTAGTTACTTTGTATTTCATTATACGTATAATGGAAGGTTGTGTCCTATCCTACCCGTTCGGCTAACGACCCTCCACTAGTCAAGAGTGTGGTGGGTAAGAGTGGATGCCCATTTAATCACCATTTTATAGGCAATTTCCTTAAACACCCGTTATAGACTAGCATTGTGAATGAGGCATACTAACGGTAAGACTGGCATTTACTTATACACATATAATATTAAACATATAATTCTATATACTATAAGGGTGTATTTTACACTTATAAAATACTAGGTGGTCTAATTTAATAAATTATACTTTTAATTTAATTAAATATAAACCATATCATTATGGATTTATTAACTCTATTTTACTTATACATTTAATTAAATTAATAAAACAATAAGGGTGTAATTTGAACTTTTCAAATTACTAGGGTTTTATAATTTAATATTTCAAAATAAATACATTTTTAATTTAATTTTTAAATTCCAAGACTTGAGGACAAAATTTGAAACTTTTCAAAACATTAGGGATTTAGAATTTAAATCTTTCAAAATTAAACTTTTAATCAAAATTTAAATTCCAAAACTTGAGGGCAAGTTTTGAAACCTTTCAAAACTATTTAGATCAAATTTTCAAATAATTAAATTAATCAAATAGTTGGTAATTATCTAAATTTGTCCTAATTCCATTTCTTACAAGTTAATTCAAATCAAAACTACAAATAATTAATATTTAACTTATAAAAGAAGTAATTATCTAAATTTTGACAATTATCTACTATATTGGTATGGATAATCACACAAAATCAATAAAAATCGAATTTTATTAATTAAAAACATTTTTGGTAACTATCCCACAGCAAAATAGGTCAAAATCCCGCAAAATCAGCCATCTGCGACTCTGACTCGTCGAGTCAGCGCTAAACTCATCGAGTTCCCAGTGGACTCGGCGAGTCCAGTCCCCAAAATGCAGAATTTTGCGATTTTAAGCATGAATCATTATGTAAAGCATCAACGACATCAAACAAACAACCTAGGCTCTAATACCACTGATAGGTTTTGAGCAAAACATCAATCCTATGCTGTGCATGCAAACTCTAAAGCTTTGGATCTAGTTTGTCTAATGAACATGCAATAATCATCCAAAGCTCATAAACCCAAGATCTAGCATACAATAATCGATATTATCATAATAAAAGGGTTTAGATCTTACCTTGATTGTTATGTAGCACCTCTAATGGAGTCACAAACATCATGAGCAACAAGACGACTTGGGAGAAGTAAGAGGAACACCAAAAAGGTCCAAGATCTGCTAGAGAATGCTTAGCCTTGTTTTTGGGAGCCCTAGCGGTCCTTTTTATACTTGTGTGGGCTGCTCGGGTTTCAGGTGAAACCCTAATTCTCTACTTAGGCATTAAGCTGTTGTTTGTTTTTCTATAAAAACCTCTTCAAACCACTTATTGCTGCGCGGCGCAGCACACGCGCAACACTTTCCCTCTCGTAGCAGTTTGTTTTTTGGAAGACTTCAGAATATAAAACCTCTGCGCGTGTGCTGCGTGGCGTAGCACTTGACTTGCCTCATCTAACCTCTTCAACTTTCAATTTTTCTAAGTGTTTTTTTAAGAATTTTTGTATAACTTTTTTTTTAATTTTTTTTAAACTTTGATTTTCTTAAATGTTTAGTTACAGATGTGATACAATTTATTTTTATAATTTTCATGATTTTTTTTAACTTGATTTTTTTAATTTTTTTTACCATTTTATTAATAATATTTTCAATTTCAGTTACATCTTTTTAACGTTTATAATTTTTTACGAACTTTTTAGACAACGTTTGCAATACTTTCTTAATTTTTTTATTATTTTCTTTTTTTTTAATGTTTTTTAAAATTAGTTTTTTTTTTCTAGAATAAAACTATTAGCTTCTTTTACATTCTTTGAAGTTTTTTTTTTAAAAAAAGTTATATATATATATATATATATATATATATATATATATATATATATATATATATATATATTACATGTTTTTGTTATTATTATTTCAATGTTTTAAGACTGGAATTATTAAATTTCATTGTTGAAAACTATTTTCAGTTTATAAAATTAGTTTATTTAAATTTTAGTTTACTGCAGATGTTAAAAAACAAACATGCTTTTTATTATAGGCTGTAGTAATTTGTTCCACCTCTTCTGCTATAGAGGAATGCGGAGGTAGTCTGCAGACTTCATGAATTTTCGCTTCGAAAAAACAAACAGCACCTAAGCAACTCATGGAGTCCTTTCAGGAATCCCTTGGACGAAATCCATATGGGCTTCCCATATATTTCGTCCAGTCCCCTTTCCAGTAGGAATCCATAAGCCAATTGCAACTATCAAATAATTGCAATATAAGTCCCTTTTATTTAATAAATCTCTTTTAGTCACAAAACTAATTCTTAATTAAATCTTTACTAATATTAATTAAACAATATGATTTCTCCTTTAATATATTATTCTTATAATGTATTTAATAAATCATAATTAATTCTCTTTCTCCTTAGTTCATCCTATCGGTTGCTATGGTAAAGGCAATCCAAAAGGACCATGCTCGTAATCGGGTCAAGTACATTCCAGAATAGTTATGGGCTTAGACACCTAATCCAACAGAAGGTGGGTCTGGTGTATCAGGAAAAGAAGACCCCAAAGCTCCAACTAAATATGTTAAATAAGAACCTAAGGGCAAGAAAACTATGTTCAATGAAGAGCCTATCATTGATGATAGTGAAGATGAAGAAGAGTTGGATGAAGACGAGCTTAAAAAGAGAAAGGCTCGTGAAGCTGATTTGGATGAGCACAAACGGATCATTCGAGAAGCTAAACAAAAAGAAAGGGTTGAGAAGGAAGCTCAGGGCACTCTTCAGAGCAAAAAGCTCTTGTTTCCCAAGTGGACCTTGAAGCGAATCCAACATGATGTTGTTGATTTACCCAGCCAGTATTGGTTAGAGCCAGTTGTGTCGTTTAATCTTCAAACCACACAAAATTCGCAACTGGATCTACCAATCACTCCACAGGCCTTTAGGTTTCACGCTTTTGTGAAAATTATGAAAGCTACAATCACAGACAGCGATGTTGATCATATGCTAATCTCCTTTTATCTTAAGCACATGAAGCCATAATATGAAACATGGTGTGCTAGCAAAATCACTGGTGTAAAGTCACAGGGCCAATCGAAACTAATAGCTTCCCGAACGCGAAGTTCAAAGTGGCGAGAGGATCAACCAGTCATGTCTAGGAATTCATACTCACAGACTTGCCTTGTATAAACCCCTATGACTGGATCGTACTCTATAACATGTTGCTGAAAGAAAAACTAAAGTATGAACTTCTCATGTCCCATCTCCAATTAATGCTTCAGTCTTACATTCAAGAGATTGGTGAGATGGATGTTGAGATAATTGTGGTACCACGAAAGAAACCTTTTGCTATTCCTAAAGAATCTCCAAAGGATTTCGAAAAGCTAAATTTAGTGAAGATTTACAAAGAAGGATGTTACGTGGTGTATCAATCTAGGGAACGAACTGAAGCTGACTGTCACAAGTCTCACTTCTTTCTTACTAACAAACATATGTACACTACATCCTTTCTTGATTTCATATTGGACTTGGTGACCAAATTCAAGGGCAACAGTAGGGAGGAGCTTAAGTGCTTCTTTGACATGGTCTTGTGGTACATTTGAGTTCGCAAATTGCTATTAAGCTTCATTCTGAAGATTTATGAAGTACAAAAGAGAATTCAAGGATAATGGACTCATGCCTCAATTGACGCAAAGTGGATGATTGTTGGGTATTAGATGTTGCATCATTGGTCTTTTTGTATAGTCTGTTATGTAAATGGTTTGGGCCTGTCCATCCCATATTTAATTTTAGGGTTAGAGTATTTAAGGTGCATGCATGCATCATATTTATATGTAAATGGTTTGGGGCTGTCACTCCTATATAGTAGAATTTTTTTGTCGAGTTCTTCTAAGGCATGAGACTTAATCATTCAACATTATTCAGATCATGGTTGTGTTCTTGTTTTTACTTGTTTTGAATCTAAACGATATTTAAGGATTTTCATCCTAATAGGTATTTCTATTGAATCATATTTTTAAGAACCCGATGAAGGGAAAAGGCATTTTAGGTTTGAGGTTGGACAGCCTTGTGGACTCGTCGGAAACTACTCCATCTTCGGTGGAGCATCTTGACACAAATCAAGAATATGACCCTTTTCTTGTTGATTGTTGATGATTAGCCATATATATTTTCTTGTGTGAACAAAACAAATTGTATTTCTTGATTGGAACTTTATTCATAGAGGAATAAATGAGGAAATTGCATGTTGCTTCTTTGGTGATTCATTGACTGTCGATCAGAAGGAAACATAGGTTTCCTTTGTGTGTAACCTTCTCCTCTCTAATAAATAAAGTTTTTTTTTGCCACTTGTCACACTCTCATTCAATTTCCCAAATGTCATTTTGTGGTTATTTTGAATAATTTTTTTTCCACATGTCATTTTATAAGTTTTCTATTTTATTAAATCTCACATAATATTTTAATGTAATAATTGTAATAAATGTAGTAACACATGGGTATCAATTTTAATAATAATCTGACATTTTAATTTTAAAGCTCTAAAAATTAATACTCATTAGTTTTTTTTATTTAAACTATTTGTTTTAATTTAAAAGATAAAAAACATATCCATTATAATAATTCATTATTTTTCTTATTTTCTTATAAATTCAAAGTTCTCAAATATTTTGACATTTATATTTAATTTTTTTTAAATTAACCTATGTAATATATGAGTCTCACAACTAGTATATATATTGAAATGTGAAGTAATCTTCAAATTCCTTGAATGTTTAGTAGATGAAATGGTTTCAATGGGAGGACAGCCAAAACACTTTGTGTGTGGTTTTGTCTACAGTAGTATTTGATTGTGAAGAAACTTGGAAGTAAAGAGTGATGGGTTGTATAACAATAGGCATAATTTGTATTGTATAAGTTTCATTTTTTTAAAAATTTGTATTATGTATTTGTTTCATTATGTAACGTGTGTATAATTTGTAATTAATAAATTTCCATGTGTATTTTGTTTGGTTGGATTTAGAAGCATTGTAATATCCCAATTATTTGTGCATTTGGATGAGTATTGATTTATTTAACTAGTTATATACACTAGCATATGTATTTGGGTATTTCATACATATATAAATTTAAACTCGTAGGAAATGTAAAATTGTTAATTTGTTAAACATTGGTCTCTTATATTAAAAATTGATACATATATAATGTATATTTATGAAAATTTAATCAACCAAATGTAATTGATTATCACATATGTCGCATACTTATATATATATACTTATATATATATATATATATATATATATATATATATATATATATATATATATATATATATATATATATATATATATATATATATATATATATATAGTCGTTCACGAATTTATGTGTTGAGCTATTTTCACTGTTAAAATCCACATTAACCAAAATTGGATTTATATATTTTCCGAAATACATAACCAATAATAAAACCATGTCGAAATAAATAGTTTTAATGTTTCGCGATTAATAAACCTGAAAACGTCTGAGTTTTTTATCTTTATAAATATTTATACAAAAATCTTTCAAATATGAAATTAAATATTAAGCTATAGCCTGAGTTAAAAAATGTATTCGGAATTTCCATTTGAGGTGTGCAAGTCCCTAAACGGATAGAAACGGTTTTAGCAATTTTAAGAAAATCAGTATTATACTAGTTTTGGATTCTTAAAACGGTCGTATCTTTTGCATACGAACTCCGTTTTGAACGTTCTTTATATATTTGGGAAAAAAGGAAATGTATACTACGAGACTAGCATGTTTGTATTGCTTACAACTACTTAATACAACATTTCAATTTTTCATACGCGTTAACTAAGGTTGCAGTTTGAGTTGTTTGTTTCGTTTGTAAATTTATGCATTCGGTAGTAAGATACCATATGGTATCTTATAATAGTTGAAATAACTCATTTATTTTATATTAGATGCACTAAACTTAATAATAAAATTACAAAGTGATTTACTGTGAACTTGACCGTTCACAGTCTTTGACCTAAATTATGGGATGTCACATTGCCCTAGGTATCTTGCCACTTATGGCTCAAACAATCTTTCTGATCCAACCGATCATAACAGTCTGGTCCAAATGGCACCACCACATGCCATGCAAGGAGTGAAAGCTTTAAGACCCGCTGTAATCTTATATCACAATCGGTCTCCAACGGCCTACCACTTTCCAATTTCCATGAATGGTGTGTCCTTCCCACACCTTTACAAACCGACCAACTTTGGTATAATCCCTCCGCAGAAATCTATAACCAATCTTGGGTTTGCCACGCCCTCATCGCTGCATAAAGATCGATGAATGCCACAGGTTACCCCGCAGTCTTACAACATTCCCACACTAACTGCCATCCTAATGAATGCAATAGGCCACCCCGTAGTATTATAACACCCTACACTATCTGCCAACTACTGAATGCTACAGGCCACCCCACAGTCTTACAACACTCCTATCTTGCCATCGCCACAACTTATGGTCGTACTGCTCATCAACCAATCCATCCACACTTATCATGCGTCGAACATACTTTAGACCAAGCGCCCAATCTGGGGATCGGTTCATGCCTGTAACCCGAACCCAAGATCATCAAAATCCTTCTGTCCATCACTAAGAAGGTGTGAACCCATTGTTGGAAGTGTCCTGAACTCCCATACCATACAATCCTCTATGTAACCAGATCAGATGCACTCACTGCTCCTCCCCTCACCATCAGACAGTCGAACTTCTCATAGCCTACTTGGTTGCAGTGAAAACATAATGGGATTACCCCCTGAGGACAATCCATGCTGGCATGAACAACCCTACAACACCTGTAGCATCCTAAACCCCTAGAACGACAAACCCGATTGTGCAGTTTCTCGCACATGCTACACTGACCCGGACCTGTTGGCCCTTCAATCGTTGATCCGAATTCTTGGGTCTCTTCCCAGGACCCTTCATTACCTGCACCTGATTTGACCCCCTCTTCCCCAGGTGCTCTAAATCTATGTCCTGTTTAGAGGCTCTAGAAATCATATTATTCAGGGTCTTGCACCCTGATATACTCACAAACTCCTTGATGTCATACCTCAGAATATCATCATACCTTACCTTCTTCTTTTCCTCGTTCGTATCATACTACAGAACCAATAACCCCTCTTCCAGAACTTGGTAATGATCTCTACCACAGTCTCAGTAGTCTGGCGGATATCCTGAAACTATCACGCCAACTGCTACACCTCAATCACTTGGGGTGGAATGGTAAGTCCCGAAACGTATGTAATAGTATTTATGTAATAGTATCTCTGTAATAGTATCTATGTAATTGTATCTCTATAATTGTATCTCTGTAATTGTATCTCTGTAAATGTATGTCTTGTAATTGTATGTAATCATATCTCTTCATATAGTATGTAACATATTAGTATTTCTGTAATTGTATTTCATCATATAGTATGTAATGTATTAGTATTTTTGTAATTGTATCTCTTCATATAGTATGTAATGTATTAGTATAGACTCATGAATGAACTGACTCTTCTGTGATTCTTTGTACTTGGAATAATATGTAGGATCTCCTAACTATACATATTATAGCTACTAGTAATGTACGTGTATAACCGAAAGTATGCCTTTGCTACCCAAAGGTATTGAACTGACTGATGGAACCTTTATGTCTACATAGGGATACATGATATATAATTAATATTTAGACGACATTCGGAAAAATAACTGATGCCCTAAGGCCACATCCAAAAAAGGAAAAGTATAAAATAAGTTTTGTAAAACCTTTGAAAAGTTTAATAAATAAGAATTGATGACTTGATGTCAGTTTATAAAATGATTTGAAAGTGGTTTGTTTGATAAGACAGTTTTAAGTATAAGAAAACCTTTGTTTGAAACACAATTGTAATAGAGTTTGAAAGGAAAAAGTCAGTATGTAAGACAGTTTGATAAAGCATTTTAACATGTAAAAACATTGGAGAAAGTCATTTGAAGTAATATGTTTGGTAAAATAGCT